GAATGACCGCCCTGACAGGGAACACAACAGAGAGTCCCTGATGGAGCAGGAGAAAAGTGGGGTACCAAACTCAAATTCTAGTAAAAAGACCAGACTTGACGGCCTGAGACCAGCGGAACCCCAGAAAGCATGGCCCCCGGACTTTCTGTCAACCCAGAACTAAACCCATTCCTGAGGCCAACTCTTCAGACAAAGACTAGACTGGACTATGGGACATAAAACGATACTCATGAAGAGTGTGCTTCTTGGCTCAAGTAGATACGTGAGACTAAATGGGCAGCTCCTGTCCGGAGGTGAGATGAGAAGGCAGAGAGGGTCAGGAGCTGGTTGAATGGACACGGGAAATCAGGGGTGGAAAGGAGGAGTGTGCTGTCACAGTATAGGGAGAGCAATTACGGTCACATAACAATGTATGTATAGATTTTTGTATGAGATATAACTTGAATTGTAAACTTTCACTTAAAATAGAACAATAAAAAAAAGATTGCAGCCTAGGGGAAAAAAAAAAAAAATGACCCTCCTAAACATGGGACTGCCACATTCAAACATAACGTGTAGGATAGCATATATTATATAATTTCTTCAGAACTGTTATGCCAATATAACCAGTGTACTGTTTGTTCTAAGTATTAGCACAGTTGCAATGTTAGCCTAAATTTTGTTAAATATGATAAATTTACTTTCATCATTTTAGTTTCACTTTTCGAGCTATAGCCCCAAGCAAATCCTTTTTTTTTTTTTTTTTTTTTTTACTATTTACTATAAAATTTTGGCTCCCTTTTCAACTGGATTCATTCAGTGGCCTTTTCGCTGGCACCAGTTATCTATGATAATGAGGAGCTTCCATGCACTCATTTCCAAAACTACACTGCATACTAGTTTTACCACAATCTTAAAATAGAGTACAAATCTTGTTTTTAATCTTTAATAGTTTTTTAGACTTGAGGTACCACATTATAATTTATAGGTAATCAAATTTTAACACACAAGAAAGAACCCTGTTAGTTTCATTGTCTTTAAACCTCTAACCCACATCACCATCTTTCCGTCTGTAAACAAGCCAAGAATGTTTGCCAAGTAGAAGATGGAGCTGCCAGTTAAGCTGCCATTATAGATAAAATGACCATATTTTCTGAATCCAAAATTCAGACAGAGGCCCTGAAAAAAGATTTGAGACTGTATTATACAAAAAAATCTTATAAAGATATAAAATTAAATTAGATTGCATGATAATTTAATGTACTGCTCTTTTAAAAAATGTGAACAAGACTTTCCCCAGAAAACTAGGCCATATGGTTCCCATATATATTTTGAGAGAAGAGCAGGGAGTAGGGGCATTGACCATTGAACAAATAGTTCTCAACTTTTATTCTTTCAATGTTTTGATCATGACAATACCTCAGTGAATATCTTAGAGTAAGATCAGTGCATTTGTCTTTACATTTAATCTCTAAAATGCAAATGCCAATTCTGGTCACCTATCAACATCATACAAGGGCACATTTCACAGGTTTATAACTAAACTTTAAAATAATTACATAATAAAAACAAATAAAACACAATAAAAAAATATACTGTAGAAAATATAAAAATGCAATTTATTTACCTTATTTACCATATAATTAAGTTATAATGATAATAATTTTTGCCTTGGAGTTTAAGGCAGTTACATTTTTTGCCACAGTTACTTTTTCCGACCATATGCTAGAATCAGCATCTTCTTCGTGTTATCTGCAGTTAATTACTCATTTATATTTTACGTTTGTCCATTTGAAAATCATTATTTCTTCATGATCACTGAAGTTCTATAGTATAAAATGTCATTGTCTTCATATATTTGAAAAGTATCGATCACGATTTTGAAAGTCTCTATGAGCATATTTTGCATCAGTCTTGTTATGTGGGATCCTTCCAAAGGGTTCAAGGTCATTGAAACAAGATTCAAAAACTTTATCAACAGCCTTTTGAGCTACTTCTTTGTTGATATTCCTAACAGCCAAGATAGAAAGAATGGCTCGGTCTCGAACACAAGTCTAAGAAGAAGGAAAAGTATGTGGCATTAATTTTATATGAAAATTTAATTATGAAATAATAAAATTTTACATAACATCTGAACCAAAATTTACATTAACTTCCTCTCATACTATTTTATTAATTTCTGTCATTACAAATTAGAAAAACAAAATGAACAAAGAAACATAACTCTTCTTTTACAGAACATGTTTAGCTCAACTGAAAATTATTTAGGTATAAATAAGACCTTCATTTTCTCATCTTTCCCAATAACACATGCAGATGTCATTCTCTGAAATTCTGGACAGTGTCTGACAATCAGTAACTCCCAGTTTGCAAAATCACAAAAAAATCTATAAACATGCTCCTGACTAAATTTTTCATAAAATTTAATTAAACTTAAGATATACTTTAAACTACACTAATGACCAAAGATCAGACGAGTTGTGGAATGATGTCAAGGACATCATACATGAAGAAAGCAAAAGGTCATTAAAAAGACAGGAAAGAAAGAAAAGAACAAAATGGACATCTGAACAGACTCTGAAACTTGCTCTGGAACATAAGAGTAGCTAAAGTAAATGGAAGAAATGATGAAGTAAAAGAGCTGAACAGAAGATTACAAAGGACGGCTCGAGAAGATAAAGTATAACAATGAAATGTGCAAAGACCTGGAGTTATAACACCAAAAGGGAAGAACAGGCTCAGCATTTCTCAAGCTGAAAGAACGGAAGAAAAAATTCAAGCCTCAAGTTGCAAAATTGAAGGATTCTATGGGCAAAACACTGAATAACAGGAAGCATCAAAAGAAGATAGGAGGAATACACAGAATCACTGTATCAAAAAGAATTGGTCAACGTTCAACCATTTCAGGAGGTAGCAAATGATCAAGAACAAACGACACTGAAGGAAGAAGTCCAACCTGCACTGAAGGCACTGGCAAAAATCAAGACTCCAGGAACTGACAGAATACCAATTGAGACGTTTCAACAAACAAATGCAATGCTGGAAGCACTCACTCATCTATGCCAAGAAATTTGGAAGACTGCTACCTGGCCAATCAACTGAAAGAGATACATATTTGTGCCCATTCCAAAGAAAAGTGATCCAACAGAATGTAGAAATTATTGAACAATATCGTTAATATCACATGCAAGTAAAATTTCCCTGAAGATAATTCAAAAATGGTTGCAGCAGTACATACACAGGGAACTGCCAGAAATTCAAGCCAGATTCAGAAAAGGACATGGAACAAGGGATATCATTGCTGATGTCAGATGGGTCTTAGCTGAAAGCAGAGAATACCATAAAGATGTTTATCTGTGTTTTACTGACTATGAAAAGGCATTCGACTGTGTGGATCATAACAAATGATGGATAATACTGCGAAGAATGGGAATTCCAGAACACTTAATTGTGCTCATGCAAAACACGTACACAGACCAAGAGGCAGTCGTTCAAACAGAACAAGGGGATAGTGCATGGTTTAAAATCAGGAAAAGTGTACATCAAGGTTGTATCATTTCACCATACTAATTCAATCTGTATGCTGAGCTAATAATCCGAGAAGCTGGACTACATGAAGAAGAACGCAGCATCAGGATCGGAGGAAGACTCATTAACAACCTGCAATATGCAGATGACACAACCTTTGCTTGCCGAAACAGAAGAGGACTTGAAGCACTTACCAATGAAGGTCAAAGACTCCAGCCTTCAGTACAGATTATACTTCACCACTGGACCAATAACCAACATCATAATAAATGGAGAAAAGATTGAAGTTGTCAAGGATTTCATTTACTTGCAATCAATGCCCATGGAAGCAGCAGTCAAGAAATCAAAAGACATATTGCATGGGGCAAATCTGCTGCAAAAGACCTCTTTAAAGTGTTAAAAAGCAAAGATGGCACTTGGAGGACTAAGGTGGGCCTGACCCAAGCCACGGTATTCTCAATTGCCTCATATGCATGTGAAAGTGGATAATGAATAAGGAAGACCAAAGAAGAATTGATGTCTTTGAATTATGGTGTTGGCGAAGAATATTGAATATACCATGGAGTGCCAGAAGAACAAACAAATCTGTCTTAGAAGTACAGGCAGAACGCTCCTTAGAAGCTAGGATGGCGAGACTTCGTCTCATGTACTTTGGACATGTTATCACAAGGGACCAGTCCCTGGAGAAGGACATCATGCCTGGCAGAGTGACGGGTCAGCAAAAAAGAGGAAGATCGTCAATGAGATGTATTGACACAGTGGCTGCAACAATGGGCTCAAACAGAGCGACAATTATGAGGATGGCACAGCAGGCAGTGCTTCAGTCTGTTGTACACAGGGTCACTATGAGGCAGAACCAACTCGATGGCACCTAACAACAACAAGATATGCTTTACTTCTGCATCTCTCTCCCTTAAATTTTCAGTTGGCCAATGTTAGATAACTTTTCCTTTGAGGCGGAGACTCTGTTCCCTGGAGGCAATAGGAAACTGCACACCCAAACTGGAAAAGTGTCATTATTTTTTAGAAAAAAAAAATTTTTTTTTTAATCAAATTATTTTTTCTCCTGAGTGTTCTTTATATAGGAATTAAAGTTTGGTTCCTAAGAAAACAGTTTACCTAACAGTAATTGCCGGGAAGAAAGAAAATTTCTCCCTTCCAAGGAGGAAAAAAGGAGCAAAAATGTGTCTCCTAGAACAACAGAGTTGAGAGACAAATGTGGACCACAGTTCAGATCCACTTCTCTCCAAATGTAAAAAAAATTTTCTTAAAATAAAGGTATGACTGTGGGCTGAGAGCTGGGGACCATTATCTCAGGACATCTAGGTCAACTGACATAACATAGCTCATAAAGAATATGTTCTACATACTACTTTGGTGAGTAGCATCTGGGGTCTTAAAAGCTTGCAAGCAATCATCCAAGATACATCTATTGGTCCCATCCTGTTCGGAGCAAAGGAGAATGAAAAAAACCAAAGACACAAGGAAAATATTAGTCCAAAGGACTAACAGATCACATGAACCACATCCTCCACCAGCCTGAGCCTAGTAGAACTTGATGGTGCCTGGCTACCACCACCGACCCGTGTGACAGGGATCACAATAGGGGGTTCTGGACAGAGCAGGAGAAAAATGGAGAACAAAATTCAAATTCACAACAACAACAACAAAAAGACCAGACTTACTGGTCTGACAGAGACTAGAAGAGGCCCTGAGACTATGGCCCCTGGACACCCGGCTAACTCAGAAGTGAAGCCACTCGTAGAGTCCACCGTTCAGCCAAAGATCAGACAGGCCTATAAAACAAACCATAAGACACGTGAGGAATGTGGTTCTTAGTTCAAATCAAGTATACGAGACCAAATGGGACCTGCCCAAAAGCAAAGATGAGAAGGCAGGAAGGGACGGGAAAACTAGATGAATGGACACTGAAAAGCTAGGGTAGAAAGGGAAGGCGGGAGAGTGCTGACACATTGTGGGGATTGCAACCAATGTCACAAAACGATTTGTGCATAAATTTTTGAATGAGAAACTAATGCGTTGTAAACTGTCATGGATTGAATTATGTCCCCCAGAAATGTATATATCAATCTGGCTGGGCCATGATTCCCAGTATTGTGTGGTTGTCCTCCGTTTTGTGATTGTAATGTTATGTTAAAGAGGATTAGGGTATGATTGTAACAACCTTACTAAGGTCACATCCCTGGTCCAGTATAAAGGGAGTTTCCCTGGAGTGTGGCCTGTGCCACCTTTTATCTTACAAGAGATAAAGGGAACGGAAACCAAGCAGAGACTTGGGGACCTCATACCACCAAGAAAGCAGTGCCCGGGGCAGAGCACGTCCTTTGGACCCGGGGTTCTTGCACAGAGAAGTTCCTAGTGCAGGGGAGGATTTATGACAAGGACCTTCCTCCAGAGCCAACAGAGAAAGCCTTCCCCTGGAGCTGATGCCCTGAATTTGGACTTCTAGCCTACCAGACTGTGAGAGAATAAATTTCTCTTTGTTAAAGCCATCTACTTGTGGTATTTCTGTTAGAGCGGCACTAGATCACTAAAACATAAACTCTCACCTAAAGCACAATAAAATACTTTTAAAAAGAAGAAAAAAGTATGGCTGTGCAGATTTACAATCAGGTACTGTACTTGCTGTTTATGTTTCTTAGGTACATGCTATAAAAAAAAGTAGGGACTCCTTTCTCTAAGACTCTTCTCCCTCAATCAGACTCCCACCTCTCCATTTATTTTCCATCCTGTTCTACTTCTATTTTCTATTCCCGTTCTGCTGCTGCTGCCCAAAAGCAGAAAGAGGACAGACTTCTCTTTCAAAGATGTGGGCCCTGGATCACATACTTTAACCACATTATCCTCCTCTCTAGGAGTATATGGATGTGTATCCTACTTGGATCTTCTCCACTGAGAGCCAGAATACACAGCCCATTCAAATTCAGCCTAAGCTGAATTCACCAGAGAGGCAGGGATTTAAGGGCACAGAAGACATGGAGCACAAGACAAGTTCAGTGGCAAATTACTAAGCTGATTTGAACAAGCTGAAAGCATTACCAGTTCTATTGGAATAATCACCTTTTCTAGGCAGCAGGCCTGTCTTCTAGCTCCCAATCACTAAGTACACAATTTCTCCTACTAGTTCACTATGACTTTCCACCCTCCAGCCCAGAGTTGAGTTATTCCCTTCTCTGAAGAACCAAGGGCCTTCCTGTTGTTGTTCTATGCCTATCCTTTTTTATATCTAGTTGAAACTGCTATTCTGGTGCCCACATACCTCAGGAAAATGGCCCAATGAGCTCTTCCCATAGAAAAATCTCTGACCAGCCTTTCCCCTGAGTGTGGATACAGAGCCCCTTGGTTGCTGTGGGCAGAACTGCTCATATTCATTATCAGTCTATCAGCTCTACACTTCCTTTCCCCCATGTCCATCTATCACGAATCTTAAAGACTTCCTAGCAGGATCATCTTGCCTTATGGTTTTGGTTTTTTGTTTTTGTTTTGTTTTGTTTACAAAATCCCTGTCAGTTCAGCTCATCATAATCAAGTCTGTGACAATCCAAAGCTTTTTCTATCACATCATACAGCCTTAAAGGTGAACTGGTACACAGCCATAACCTGTGCTGCAACGGAGTCTCAATCTGTTCTGAAAGGTATTACTCTTTTCATCCCTCTAGAATCCTGTGGTAGTTTAGAAAATGTACGTCCAGGCCTGTTCAGACAGAAGACAGGCTGTGACTTCACTTCCATTCCTTATCCACCCCCATTCAAAAGTATCCCAGGAGTGACATCATAGCTCTTTTTACTATCAAATCTCTCCGTCAGTCATAGAGCTTGCCCATAATTATAAAGTAAAATTAAATTCCACCCATTTGGCTTAAGAGGGGAAACCCTGATAGCGTAGTGGTTAAGAGCTGCAGCTGCTAACCAGAAGGTCAGCAGTTCAAATCTACTAGGCGCTCCTTGGAAACTCTAGGAGTTGCCCCAGCATTCTATTCTGTCCTATGAGGTCGCTATGAGTCAGAATCAACTCGACGGCAATGGATTTGGTTGGTTTGGCTTAAGAGGGATACATTTTTTAATTCTTTTCATAGAGGGAGTGTCATGGATTGAATTATGTACCCCCAAAAATGTGCATATCAATTTGGCTGGGCCATGATTCTCAGTATTGTGTGGTTGTCCTCCATTCTGTGATTGTAATTTTATGTTAAAGAGGATTAGGGTGGGATTATAACACCCTTACTAAGGTCACATCCCTGATCCAATGTGAAGGGAGTTTCCCTGGGGTGTGGCCTGCACCACCTTTTATCTTACAAGAGATAAAAGGAAAGGGAAGCAAACAGAGTTGGGGACCTCATACCATCAAGAAAGCAGTGCCGGGAGCAGAGCATATCCTTTGGACCAGGGGTCCCTGTGTGGAGAAGCTCCTAGTCTAGGGGAACACTGATGAAAAGGCCAACAGAGAGAGAAAGTCTTCCCCTGGAACTGATGCCCTGAATTTGGACTTCTAGCCTACCAGACTGTGAGAGAATAAATTTCTCTTTGTTGAAACCATCCACTTGTAGTATTTCTGTTACAGCAGCACTAGATGACTAAGGCAGGTAGTTCTTGCAAATTTCAAATACTAAATGTACTTCTCGTTCTTCATTCATTATTTCCACTCATAACATTCTTGAAGGTAGGCAGCTTCGAAGGTTAGTTTTTACCTGATGGTGTTGTTTTAATCCAAAATGTAACCTGAATACTTCATTTACAAGTGAGCAGTCTCCACTGAGGTTAGCAGCTCGAATCTATCACAAAGACATAAGGCAAATGAAAAGAAAATACATACTCATGCTCTATATCCTTTATAATAGCAATCAATTTTTAAAAAATTAGAAAAGAATAGAAAATCTGTGTTTTTCTAAGAAGACAGTATATGTAAGATTTTTTTAAAGAATTTTTAGAAGTCTATTGACTCAATAAGTCTTTAAATTAAGAAAAAAGAACACCTATCCATGAGCTATACTAGACAATGCCAAACACACCAGGAGATGGGGGAAAGTTCAATCATCTACGAGAGTGAATTTGCTAAATTTTAAACTGTAGCCTCACTGGCTGAACTAATTTCTTTTAACACCAAAAGTCAGAGAGTTGGAACTTAAAGTTCATGTCTTCAAGACACTAACACTGCTAGAAATTACCGAAAGGGCTTCAAGAAAGCATTCTTCCAAAGATCTGCCAACTGAATTTCAATGCAAGCTTAAAAACTCAATACATCAGTGCCTCAGACACTTTCAGCATATGAACCCCCCACCCCTAGCCCAGATCTTTGAAATTCTCTTGGACCTTCCCTCAAACCCACACAAGTTCATGACATTCCTAAGGGCCTTGAATGTCCTAAGAAAAATTAAGTGGTACGAAGTAGTTCTCCATCCAACACAAAGAACCAAGAACATTCCAAATGGTCACGCTAAGAGCATGATAGCCTGAAGTCAGGATGCATCTTCTAATTAGCTATATTTTTAAAAAAAGAAGCAACTTTAATAAATATAAAAATCTTGGAACTAGCCACATAGATTCTACAGCCAGCCTGGCCACATTTTTGCTAGCTTACTGCGAACAGAATGGCCCACTTCTTGTTACTTCTACAACAACATGGCCTCATTGCTCTGAGGAGCTCAAGGCACTTAACACACTTTAACTAGCTAACAGGCATTAATTTTCATAATACCCAAGAGACACATCTATTTAAAAATTCAGGTTTTAGTCTACTCTCCAAATAATATGAATTGTAAGTAGATGCAATGGGGCCACTTACTAATTTCAAGGGAAAGAGAAAATAATCTAAGTTATAAAGTATAATCTTGAGATTCATATTGTTTTGTTTTGTTTTTTAACTTCTCTTCACATCACACTCTTCAATTAATGAAATCCAAGTATGAAACACACGTCTCTCTAGCAGCGTGTGTGTGGTGTACTTCAGAGAGCAATTCAAAGCACTTAATAATAAATATCTTTTTATGCTGTAGTTTTGAGACCCATTTAAGATGATTACACTAAAAGTTTTATTCTAGGACAAGCAAGGAGCTTTACCTATGGAAGGCAGCACAGCAAACCAGGTAAGAGCCCTGGCTGTAATCCTGCCTGGCTTGAATACAAATCCTGCCTCTGCTGGTTGCTAACTAGGATTTCAAGCACTGAACAACTGCCTCACTTTCCAAATATATAAAACAGGGACAGTAACAGTAGCTCCTCCAATGGGCTGTTGTGAAGATTAAATAAGAATCCACACTAACAGTTAACACAGTGTTTGGCATATAGCCCTCAATAAATGTTAACTATTTGTATTATATTTATATCACATACCCACTGCCATTGAGTCAATTAAAACTCATAACAACCCAGTAGGACAGAGTAGAACTGCCCCATAGGGTTTCCAAGGCTGTAATCTTTATGGAAGCAGACTGCCACACCTATCTCCTGTGGAGCTGCTGGTTGGGTTTGAACAGCTGACCTTTCGGTTAGCAACCAAGCGCACTGTGCCACCAGAGCTCCTTATATTATATTATATAGTTTATTGAATAGGAAAAATTAATAGTTTCTTATTACAATTAAAGTCAGTCATCACTACTATTAGGACTTAAAGGTTATTTAAGATAATCCTAAAAAGATACTTAAAATTTCTCTAGCTGTATCTCAAAAATTGTACTCAATAATAGTTAAAAACAGAACTTCAAGACTAAGGTGGAACTATGACAGTAAGAAAAGTTAAAAGCTTAAATAAATTATATTTGGGATAAAACGTCTGAACACAAAGTCACTTGATAAAATCTGAAAGAAAAAAGTGTCTTCTACAATAAAACTTACCTCTGAGCAGGCCAAATGTCTGACATTGGTGAACCAGTCAACATGAGCACGACAGTGATCAAACGCATGAATGAGCTCGTGGGTGACCACTCTGTTCATATGGGCCTGATTACGGATATTATTTTGGCACAGAACAATCTAGGAGACACCAAAATAAGAGAAGTTGGGTTATTTTGAAAACCTACTCTCATTTTATAGAGTCCATCTTCTCTCCCACACTAAGGGGCTGGGGGGCTCACTTGCTTGGAATGCCTCTGCCCACTCTTCTCCACCTACCCACACCGACTTACCTGTCAAGACATACTCTTAACTGTAGATGCTCCACTGAGCTTTCCTCAACTACTAACATCTTCTTCCTCCTCTCTCTGGACCACAACAGCACACAGACTGAGGACACTAATTAACATGCCATCCTCATCAGGCTGACCACACCAATCTGTCTGGGACTTCACGGCATTATGATTACGAGACGGGCTTTGGGGTGAAGCAAGCAGGTTCAAATCCCACTCCTTAGTAACTGAGTGACCTTGGGCAAGTTTCTTAACCGCTCTGTAGTCAGTTTCCTCAAATGTAAAACCAAACCAAACCAAACCCATTGCCATCAAGTCAGTTCTGACTCATAAAAGAGATAATTAAAGTACCTACCTCGCAGAATTAAATGAGAATATATGCAAAATGCTTCTTATCGAGTTTCTGAATGAGAAATGAATGAATAGTGAATGCCCACCAGTGTCCTCATTCTACTAGAATTGCCAGGAAAAAATCCTCAGAAAGACCTTCAGAAAGAAGTGCAAAAAGCCAAGAGCACGCTGAGTAGGACCCTACAAGAATAGTAAAGACATGAGGGATCCTAATAATAACAGCTGCCATTTATTGTGTATTTACTATGTGCCAGCCACTGAGATGAGTGCCATATATTTTATATACATTCATTCAACACTCACTTATTCAATACTTATTGAGACCTTATCCTCACCCTTGAGGAATTTGTAATCGACTGGTGAAGACAGAAATTAGCCAAATATTTACCAAAATGTTTAAATATATGCAATGGCACTTATCATGAAGAAAAGCCCAGGTTGTTGAGAGCACATATAATGAGGATGCCTGACCTGATCTGGAGGGTTGGGATCTCTGCAGAAGGAACGGGATCTGGGATCTAACGGATGACTGGAGTTAAACTCGAGAAGCAGACGGAAGGGGACATTCCAGACTGAGAGAACAACATATGCAAAGGGCAGGGGGAGAGTTGGGAGGAGAAGAATGTTTGAGAAGCTAAAAGCAGACCCACAGAGTTGAAGCACAGAGAGCTGGAGGTGGTAGGCATGAGATAAGGTTGGTATGGTGGGCAGGGGCCAAATCACTGAAGGCCTAGTCCTTAACCTGAGAGCAATGGGAAGCCACCAACAGGGAGTGTTGAAACAGAGTTTTGCTTTACTTTGTTTTTATCCTTTTGACTATAGTGGAGAGAATAAGCAGATGACGACCAAGACTGGATGCAGAGACTAGCTGAAGGTATTAAAGCATTCTAGGCAACAGACAATGGTACTTGAGCTAGGAAGGTGGGAGCAAAAAGAGGTACTTACAAGATAAATTGCACAAAATTTGATGATAAATAGAATATGGGAGGGGATCAGAGGTAGCAAGAATGATTCCTAAATTTCTGACTTGAGTAATAAAATGGATGGTGGTACCATTCACTGAAACATGTAAAACTAAAAGATCAGGTTAGGTGAGGATGAGACATGGTAAAAATCATGAATCTGGACTTGGATATGTCAGGTCTGAGGTGCCTTTGAGACATGCATGTGTAGGCGTTAAGTGGGCACTTGAATATATGGAGAGCTCAGACCTAGGCAGATAAATGAGATCCCCTTGGCAGAGCACAGAGTAAGAAGAGAAGAGGATCTAACATCAAGCATTAAGAGACTTCAACATTTAAGGGCTGGGAGCTGGCAGATGAGCTGGCAAAGGAGAAACCAGAAGAGCACTGGAAACTGGAAACCAAGGGAAGTGTGTTTAGCATTACCTTCTAAAGTCAATCACATGCATGCTATATGACCCAGTAATTCCACTCCTAGATGTATACCTTGGAGAAACTCTTTCACACGTGTACCAGGAGAGAAGGACAAGAACTCGGATAGCAGCATTGTTCATAAACATACAACTGGAAACAGGGTACACTGTAGTAGAGACATACAATGGAACACTATTCAACAAGGACATAAACCAGAGCTACACACAACAACACGAAAGAATCTAACAAACAATGCTGAACAAAAAAATGAAGTTACGTAAGACTATATAAGCTATGATTTCATTTAAATAAAAATCAAAGGATTCCATTTATAAAGTTCAAAACTAGCAAAACTAAATAACACATTGTTTGGGGTATAGACAGATGATAGATGACAAAACCACTTAGAAAAGCAGGAAATGGTTACCGCAAAGTCAGGATAATGAAGGGACAGCGATGCGAATCAAGAGGGTACACAGGCTTCTGAACTCTTAGTAACGTTCTGTTTCTCAAACCTGGGTGGCACTTTATGATCATTACTGAAATGCACATAGAGACTTTTTACACTCTTCTGTATGCGCTGGATGTTTCACAATTAAATTTTTAATTTAAAGAATAAAAAGAGAGAGTGACCAATTGTGTTCAATACGGCTAAAGATGATTCAGAAGGTCTGCTCTATTTAACCACAACAGGAGTGAATTTACTAGGAGTCATTTTGGTGAGAGCTACAGGTACTATGATTACCAATTTACAAATGACTGAGAATAAGACAAATAACGTTCCTAGGGCCTCACAGCTAACAAGTGGAAGAACTGGGATTAGAATCCAAATCTATCTGACTCCAAAACCCAGACCTCTAATCTCTATGTTACATTGCTTTTTCCTATGATTACTGTAGCTTTCCTGTAAAAGATACAGGAACGTAAAATATTAAAAGGTATACATATAAAATTCCCCAGCAGGAAATAGTTGAGGGAAGTTAAATGTAGGTTGTATCTCAAGATGGAAATAGTTACTTATAACACCTTCATCTACTCTTATCATGTGACAGCATCCATCTACCATCTTCAAGACTCTGTCATAACCCTCCAGTGACCTGAAACTAATAATAACACTTATTGAGTGCCTTCTATGGGCCAGGTCCCATGACAAGCACTTTATAAGAGATATCTCATTTTAACCATTCGATAAGGTAGATACAATCATTACCCATATTTTACAGATGAGAAATCTCACTCCCTCAATCAAAAATTTTCCAAGGTACATCACTTCTCATGATATCAAGGTAACCCTTTAGTTTAGCATTCAAGACCTCCATCATACCTCTCTTTCCAATCCCATTTCCTCTAATTCCCAATGCATCCCTGCCCTCCAGCTAAACTAGACAGCAAGCCATTCTCCAAACATGCCTTGGGCTTTCCCAGCACCCACTTTTGCTCATGCTACCCTGTCTTTGTCTTCTTGGCCCCTGAGGAGGCTTTACAACCTCTAGCTGGATCTGTTGGCATCTCTCGGTCCATCACAGCACTGTCCCATTCTGACAACCACACACCTAAAATAGTTTAATCTGTCTCAAATTTTATAATTGTGTTCATGTTTTATCTCCCCTGTGAGGGTGTAAATTCCTTAAGAGTAGGGACTCATTCACGTTTTGAGTCCTACACAAAGTCTACCAAACAGCATGCCCAGCATATAGTGCTTGGCAAGTATCAGGAGAGAAGGTTGCAGGGAAGAGAATGACTTGGCAAAAATGCCTACCTGAGATGATGAAGCATCAAAGCCTCCACTGACGCTTCCATTACAATCTTCACAAGAAAAATGTCTCTCTCTGTTAACAGCACTAAAAGGCAAGAATGAATTAAAGAAACAATGACCAGAAGCAGTATGCACCCAGCGCAGAGGAAACAGCCCTGGGCCTGGAGTCAGAAGACCGTTATGGCAAATCCTCTCACTGCCTGGGAAAGCAACTTAACGCCTTCAGGGCTCAGTCTTCTCATCCAGAAAATAAGGAGACTATGTCTGCAAAATCTATCTTAGTTCAAATTCTATGATACGAGTCCATAAAGCATTTGGTTGACTACTGGAAATATGCTGGAGTTCCTGCCCTTGGACTAGAATGTTAAGTCACTTCCTCTAAACTTCTCAAAGTTAAACACATGAAAGGCTCCTATGTAACAAGCTGAGATTTCTTCTCCATTTACAACAATGCCTAGGCTGGTGTAGTGGAAAGGCCAAGTTTGGTAATACTTACAAGAAAGATTTTGGGTACTGTCTTTACTAAATACCCAAAGTGAGGGGGAGTGCCAGAAATTTAGCATTAGAGCAGATGTCCAAAGAGAAGAAGGCCCGCCTGGAGAGACAAAGCTGGTCACTACCACCCACCATATGGAAAGGGCTTCATGGCCTGGAGTGAGAAATCTTAAGTAGTTCCAGTTTTTTTGGTTTTTGTTTTTTAGCAGCTAGAATATAAGAGAAACACTTCAAAAAGATAAACTTACCAACCAGAGTGCTTCATAGCGTCAAGTAGAAGTTTGACATAAGGATCTAAAAAGATATTGGTTTGATTAAATATGCTGATTAGAAAAAATAGCACTAATTGAATATCCAAAAAGCAGTATAAGATTATCAAACAGTAATTCACAAATCTCTAATTAAGTAATGTTATCTTAGAATTGGTAAAAATTAATATGAAAAGACAAACTTAAAATTAACATAAGCCTTTAACAAAATAAGACACTGACACAAACACCAAGCTGGGTACCACAAAGCATCTTAGATTGTATCAATGATCAACCACACTGTATTACAATATATACCAAAAAGACTAAGAGAACTTCTGGGCTACATCCACAGAAACAAACAGCAACATAGTATCCATATTTGGGGAAGGTAGTAACCCCACTGTTCTCTGTCCTGATCTGACCACACTGGTAACACCATGTCCCATTCTGAGTACCACACTTCAAATGAGACCTGTCAACTGAAGCTCTTCCACAGGGGATGGTGACTAGCATAGTAAGGGAGAATGTTGGATGAAAAACAAGAAAGGATTTGGGGATTTGGGATGGAGAAGACTTAACTAGGACCACAGTAGCTTCATTCAATGTTTATTCAAAGGGCAGAACAAGGGCCCAAGAATGGTAGGTACATGTGGCAGATTTCAACTCATGTAAGAAAGGATTTTTCCAACAGTTAGGTGTTGAAACCATAGGTGTGTAGCCTCAAAGAGCCTCAAACAACAGCTAACTAAGCAGGGGTCTATAGACCATCTTGGTCAGAAATTACACAGAAACTTTTCCTGTATTGGGGGGGGATGCGTTAGATGACTTCCGGGGGCCTTCCACTTCTAAGAGTCTATGAGCTGTGACTATTGCAGGAAAGTATAACGAACCTAAATGCCTCTAATATCAACTTTTACATAGGCATCTTGTCTGAGAGTATACGTGCAAAGCAAATTACACGACATAGGCCAAAAAACCAGAAAAAAGAAAAAGAAGCCAAAGTTAAAATTATTAAAAAAAAAAAAAGGTCACAAAAAATAGGTGAGTAAAAGAAAACTAGCGTGGGGTGAGAAAGTTAGACATAGGTTTACTGCTTTTCTAACCTGCTCCGTCTTAAGAGTGTTATCAATAAGCACTGCTAATTGAGTGTGTATCAGGCATCAGGCACCACAGAAAGTACACTATTATTTCTCAAATAACTAACAGAGTTTTATAAAGTTGAAGTGGGTTCAAAAGTCTGAAGTCCCCTTAACGGGGGGAAAAAAAAGACAGGGAACACAGTGTCTGGTACTTGAAAAAGGACTTGCAGTATTATTTAGAATGGATTTGCTTTGAAGAAAAAGGGGAGTGGAAAAGGTCTCCCATGAGGCCTGGTTTCTTCCATCTCCCTTGTCTCAGGGAGAGGATTTTAAAGTTATCTGTTGACACTGGACTACCACCAACAGGTCCCCCCAGCAGCCCTCCCCTTGGAAGGTTGAGGCCAGCTGATTCTTGCTGGGGCTCACTTCAGTACCCACCCTCCTCATACTTTATCTCAACTCTTCCTCCACTGTTTGGCTC